TAAGATTCTTTTTTTTCCTCTAGATGCCTTAGCTTATGTTTATCCACATTGAAGCTCATTTATCACCTTCTTGCCCATTTATTCAGGCTAATGAGGTCTTTCAGGAGTTGGTCACCATCAGTACTGGATTTCACTGTCCAAAGGAGATTTCAGTGTTCACTACCTTTTATAGATCATTGAAGATGATGAATAAAATTCGTCCAAGCACCCATCCATGGGGTACCCTACTTCTGAGTTTTCTCCGTCGTAAAAATCCATTAGACCCTATCCTTCGTTTCCTGTTATCTAACCAGCTTTCAGTCCACAAAAAAACTTGTCTTCAGTCCCCTGACAACTTTGTCTAATAACATTACTGTGGAATGTTATTGGAAGGCTTTTGGGAAACTTAAATATATTCATATCCCCTTTATTTACATGCATGCTGACAGCTTCATAGAATTAGAGAAAACTAGTCAGACAGGATTTTCCATTGTAGAAACTCTGCTGGCTTCTGCAGGTGATCTTTATCCATCTCCTCAGTTAGTCTTTATTTTACCATCTTGCTGGGGACAGAAATCAGCCTTCCCGGTCTGTAGCTCCAGAGTCCCTTTTGTAGATGGCTTTTTCCATATGACTGTTTCTAGCTTTACACAGAGTAAAAGAACAATCTATGGGTATCTTCATCTAAGAGAAAAAAAAATAGGTAGTTTTTAGAATATCTTGTGAACATACTCAGAAGCCCTGGCTCCTAATGTAGGGTAAGAGCTAAATGGAATCCATGGCTTGAGTTTGAAATTTTGGAAAGTTTTAGCTAAACTGGGATTTTTACAAAAAATATTCCTTTGAAAAATGAAAATTTAACTAATAAAAAATGTGTCACTCCTGTATCGTGTTCTTAGGTTGGAAGCCTACTCATACCTTGTCCTCTTTCCATCTTTCCTGAGCAGGGAGCAGTCTTATCAATCAGAGATTCCAGGCACAGAAGCTTATAAATGAGGGATGTCATGGTCTTATAGTGATATAATGCATGGCAGCTCATCTTTATAAGCACCCATTTTCACCACTACAACCTCGGTGAGAGCTGTAATCATTGACATTTTTTAATGTCTTACATAGCTGAGTAAGAGGCTATATAAGTTTCAGTCAACACTTCATCCTCGATTCCATAAACCAATAAATTACTTGCTTCAGTGAGACTTTTGCATGTGGCATGTTGGCCGCAATTTGGAAGTAGGTTCTACATCTTGAGTCACAGGCTTAGACTACATAGTTCAATTTTAACAGATAGCGATTTTCTCAAAAAATGTTTACCTAAGTAAATTGGTTTTGCTGTCAGATGTTACACAAATAAGGGTACCTGTAAAATATTAGTAGAAAAGCTACAGATTTTATGCTTATGCAAATTAGCAGGAACAGTTTTGACTATATACCCTGTTATTATAATTGATATAGTTTAAAATTGAGTTTAGTCCTGTATTTTCTGGAGTTGTTTAGAGAATATAAAAATCACTTTGAAAAAAATGGTGTCTCTGCAATCTAAAGAAAACTACCATATAACAAAAGTTAAGAAAAAATCTTATACTGAAAAATTGCATTACAGACCACGTGAACAATTATATTGGATATTGCGTATTATTACTAGTGTGGTTTTCTTTTTTCAGCTAATGAAATATATCATGGTATCTTAGACAGCAAGATTGTTATGTTCTGTACAGCATATTAAAATGTTAATTGGTAGAATACTGGCAAGCCCAAATAATCGATTTCCTATATTCATTTAGGTAAATTGGTTGTGTAAAGATTACTTTAATGATATATACATGCAATTCACCACAAGAATATTCACTTAAAATGATGTAAAAGAGAATTTAAAGGAGAATAACAAAGCTGAACAAAGATTTATGTGGAAATTGTAGCTGCATTTGTAATTGTTCTGTTTCCAATAAATTATTTCAAATACTGCACATAAACTGTATGTCCTAGGGAGCACAGACTGCCTCTAGAGACAGCATGCCAGAAAAGAGACATAAAAGAAAGCTGGATAATGTGGAGAAAAGCAGTCCTGGCTCCATCTGCTGTCTGCTTTCTCTCTCTCTCTTTCTCTCTTTTTTTCTTTTTTTTTTTTTTTTTTTTTTTTTTTTTTTTTGGCACCTTCTTTCTTAGGCCATTCGGGGTAGGTAGGTCCTATATTGAACAGACTGTTGTTTTAGGATACTTTTTTTCTGCTTTTGTCTGCTATTGAGACAGTTTAATTCTGGAAAACAAATCTACTTTGTTTTGTGTTTTCTGCTCACCATTGATAGTTTCGATCTACTAAACACAACTCAGATTAAGTAGGAACATAGGTTTTTTTTTTTTATCTCCCTAGGATCAAGTTAATTTTGTGGCCTTCCCCTCTTCTTCACCTGTATTATGAAATGCTGTAAGGAAGCCCAGGCACAGTTCTAGAATCATTACTCATTCTTACACATATGCTCACACTGGCTTTATCAGTACGAAATTGAAAAATCTACTTTTAATGCTAGCTTTTCATGTTGATTTTTCTCACAGTCCTTGGAAACAGAAGGGTTGTTGGACTGAGGGTGAGGAGAAGAGTCTGGGGGTCTGAAGCGTTACAGCTTGTCCCTGTTCTTCTGTTGAATAGGCTTGATCTTCAGAATCACTTCTGAGGCTGCTCTAATTCGTGCCAAAATCTCAATCATAAAGTTATATTTTTCTGCCTTAACTGTGTACAATATAGCTTGGCTCTCCTTCCAGACTGGTTTTGTCCTTTATTTAGAGTCCTAATAAATACAAATATTTTACTTGAAAATTGTCATTTCCTTGGAGGCTCAATAGACTTCAACAATATTTTTTTATTCTACAAATGGCAGACTTTTGCATTCACAAGAACTTCCCGATTGGAATTAGTGTAACTACTCAAATTTGGAAAATGGCTGCAAAAGAGAAATAACACTTTTCAGTCAGTCCTAGAGTTCAAGAATTTGTACGGAACCATGATCCTGCAAAGATGTACATCACTGTGCTTCTAAAACATAGTTCTGTTTCAGTAACAGGACCAAATTAAAATTTGCAAATGAAAAGTCTGACTGTAGATTGCAGAAATACTGAAAATACAAAGCAGATGCTAAATAGATAGGCAAGAATGTAAATAAGTATTTAAAAATATTGATGTTTACATTCTCAGATCTAAAAAACAGTCCTGAAAGCTCCAGTCATAGCTAAACATCAGAAAAACTTACTGTGACTGGAATTGCTAGAAATTCAAACTTTATTATAGAGAGGATTTCTAAAAATTATTAATAAAAAAGATTATTTGTGAAATATATGGTTTTTTCAGATAGGGATGAACATTTATTCACAAGAATACCTAGAGCTCAAATATAATAGAAAATTAGTCATGCAATTAGGCCAAACATTCAACACACTAGAAAATACTACAATTCATATTTCCTGATGTTTTTGTGACATGAGAGGTAAAACCATTTTTATAGTATGTAAGTCTAGTTCCAGCTTAGATGTTGAAATAAAAAATTTTATATTTGAGTAATCCTACCACTTGAGAAGATGAGAAGGTTAAAAAAAAAAAAAAAACCAAACAAATGGAAGAGTTGTGGAGATCTTTGGTAAATGTCTACATTAACATAAAAAGTGAGTTACTTTTCTACAGCTTACTGAAGTAGCATATGTTTCTGGATTTTTGCAGTCTAGAAACTAATACTTAGACATTCTTTTAAAAGACATCCCTTATCAGCAATAATTAAGATGTGAGATGAGTAAGACTTTTTTTTTAAGGAAAACAGACATTTGGTTGTTCCCAAACTAATTGTGAATATCACTTCAAGTGTTTCCAGCTGTAATGGAAGAGTTGGAGTGATACAGCTGTTGAAATCATCAGCTGCCTTTTACTCAACAGGTCGGCAATTAAGGAATCCCTTTTGTTCAGGTTGTTCCATAGGGACTGCTGAATGCTTCAGCAAACACAGTTCATGAGGAAGAAAAAAATATCTTAAAAAGTTAAATTTCATTCAGTTCAAAGCACTTCCTCTCCAATCCTAACCATATACTAAAAAAAGAGTCAATCCTAGAGTTTAATATGATATTAAATATTATAAAATATTATTATTATTATACTAAAAAAAGATATTATTTGTTACCCAATTTTAGGAAAGCAGTCACACACACAAAATGAATTACAGTTCATTTTTATGTGTATTTGTATAGTCTAGTCTAGTTATTTTCAATCTTTTTCTTATGTTAAAGTTCTCCCTCATCAGATTCTTCCTCATAAGAATCAGGCAGGTCATATTGGTCATAACCTCCAGGTTAAGATAACTTAAAATATTATTTGAGGCAGTCTTCAAACTGAAGGATGCGTTGCGTCATGCTTGGTTCCTTTATTCCCCAAGGTATCTCTGCAAAAATTAGAATTAAAAGCATAGTATTGTAAGTAAAGGTTAAGAAAGGATGAGTGGTTCAGTTGCTCATTTTGAGAACATCTTCTCTGGCATCTTTGGTTTTTTAAATTGATATTAAGGATTTTTACCTCGTAGACTCAGTTCAGTTTATTGGTTTATTGGATCTCTTCCCCTGGACATGTTCCATTTCTTTCTGTTGAGGCTGAGGTTATTTGTGACTGTGTTTTAAAAGCATATTACATGTCTTTTTTTTTTTTTTTCCAATTTACAGTTCAGCTGCCTTGCATATTGAGGTTATCTTTCAGTATACCATATAAGCAATACGTACGAGATGTATATTGGCATATACTTTGCAATCTACTTTGTTACAACAAAACCATTTAAAATATTACTGAGTAAAGAGCGTATCTAGAAATTGGCATGAATGAAATTCACCTCTGTATTCAAAATACTGTGTCTTTTTAAATACTTTTCTTGAAATGTATTGCAAATACTGCAACATATAGAAAAATACAGATTCTCTTCCTATATGCATAACATAAGCAATGTATGCTGTCACCTGTGGTTACAGTGCAGTCACTTTGCTCATTTGTTTTATTTCAGACGGTTCGCCATGGTTTTCCTTACCTACCCACTGCCTTAGCCTTTGACCCAGTTCAGAAAATTCTGGCAATTGGAACAAGAACAGGAGCCATACGAATGTATCCTTTCTCATTCCGAATTTACACCATTTCTATGTATTTGTAATACAGTGATGTGAATCATCTTCTACAAGCACTCAGGTAAGGTTACAGTTTATGTTGTTACATTCTACTTCATTTTGCTTTACTTAGGTGCACTGGAAAAGCATGTGCTGTTGAGGAATTACCATTAGGTCTTCAAGGTGTCCAAAGAAAAATTTTTATTGCGTTTTTGGCGTATGGTTTTGGCATATATTGGTTAATATAAAGCAGAATTAATTTTTGTTTTTTTCAGCATGAAAAGTAGACACTTTTCAGTATGTAAAGGTAGACTACAAAGTGATAATAAGCCAAGTTGTGAACGTTGTGCCAGCAATAAATAGATTCATTGCTGCAATGCAGCTAGCCACCTGTAGACATCTTCACTGTAGATATCTATGTATGAGATACTGTTTAGACTCTTCCAAGTGAATGGTGGGAAATAAGTGATTTTAGGGTAGAATTCATCTCTTCCTGGAGGAGGAGATGAAGCACTCTAAAAGTGCCTGTTTCTCTTCATTAATTATAAAGGTACATCAGTGCCAGCACTTTATGTGTATTTTTATGCAGTAAGAATTTTAAGTTAGAAGTCTACACAGAATAAATTGAATATAAATGTAATGAAAATTTGAGAACTTTGATTTAAAAAAAAAATCTGAGGAGAATATTTAAATGTGGTGTATTTCAAAATGTTTCTCTGCATAATTTTCTTACTTTGTCATGGTTCGAATGTATTCCAGTTTGGTGAAAATACACATAAAGTAAGGAAAAAAAGAAGAAAGAATGTTACAGGAAGGTTTAAAAGTTACAGGATACGGAAGTAATAAACCAATATTTTTTTACAACCTTTTTGTAGCTAAATAAATTCTGGATTTAAATTAGGGGACAATGCTGTATAAAATACCAATCTAATCTTTTTCTGTTTTTTTTCTGCCATTGTTCCCAAAGTAACTATATACCCAATGAACCCAAAGGCAGGTTATAACGTAAAGAAAATTATTCTCCTGGAGAACCAGTCTGTGCTTCATGTAACATGACTAAAACTTTGTTTCCTCCATTTTTGAGTGCTCTTGTTCTGAACAGCTGCATTTTCATAAGCCTCATTTTCTATCTGATCCAGAACTTCTCACAAGACTCAACTAAACCTCTAGTTATGCGACAAGCTTTGCTTTGGTAGTTCTGCTCTTAGTATTTACCTGTATGAAGTAGACTGAATATATTCTCTTCAATTACAAAGAGGAAAATCCTCTTGAATTTGTGCACTTCTCGGAAAGTGCGAGTCTAGTAGTCATGCTTTCTTCTTTTAGGAGGTATGCAAGGTTAGAAAGCTGGAGTTTTGTCTCTGGAAACTTCACTGATACCTTCTATGAGAGGGGGTATTGGGAATTTCGTGGGTAATGTAGATGTAGGAAGAAGACCTTGCAGAAGATTGACTCTTGAGCCCATCTCTTCTTTCCATCTCAGCAACCTGGCTTTTGTAGGAGCAGTGCTGTTACTGGCTAGGCACCCTATACCATTATAAATCCCTCCTTTGAGAAAAATGCAGTTACAGAGCCTGAATTAATACGGGTTCATGTAGAATTAAGTAAAACTTGCATGTCCCCTGCCACAGGAATGCAACATGCAGTGGAAAATCAGCTATATCTCTAACCTTATATAGAACTCTCTATATATCATCTTCTATGGAAATGGATTATAAAGGTTGTTTTTCAAAGCACCCTTCCCTTTAATATCTCTTCTCCAGTTTTGCTAGCAAACCCCTACCTCATTGACAGAAAATTTTCTACTGGTCCTAGTATCTGAATCAAACAAGAGCATCAAGATTAGCAGGGATTTTGATTTTTTTTTTTGAGAGAGAGATGTAATGTCCTAACATAAATCATAGAATCATAAAATCAGAATCGTCAAGGTTGGAAAAGACCCTTAAGATCATCGAGTCCAACCGTTAACTTAACACTGCCAAGTCCATCTATACCATGTCCTCGAGCACCACATCTATCCGTTCTTTAAATACCTCCAGGGATGGAGACTCAACCACTTACAACTCCATCATTCCCAGCAGCCCAGGACACCTCCCTTGATAACACAGGAAAAAACATGACCGTCACTGACATTACACCATGGTGGGCAGCAGCAAAGTCCTGCCACGCAGTCCTGCCTAGCTGCATCAAATGTTTCAGGAAGATTTTCATAACCTTTCCACCAAGTGCTGTTAGCAGCTACAAGGGCCAGGGTCAATTATGCAAGGTTTCCTCTTAAAACTGCCTCACCAGTGCCGAGTACAGGGGCACTATCACCTCCCTGGTCCTGCTGGCCACACTATTCCTGATGCAAGCCAGGATGCCATTGGCCCTCTTGGCCACCTGAGCACACTGCTGGCTCACCTTCAGCCGGCTGTCGACCAGCACCCCCGGGTCCTTTTCCGCCAGACAGCTCTCCAGCCACTCCTCCCCCAGCCTGTAGCGTTGCCTGGGGTTGTTGTGACCCCAGTGCAGGACTCAGCACTGAGCCTTGTTGAATCTCACACAGTTGGCCTCGGCCCAACGATCCAGCCTTCTCAGCTTAGGCACACAGAGCCTGGTTTGCTTAATTAAGCACTGAGTTAATAGAAGCTGTGCTTTGAATACAGGGTGCCATAAAAGGAAGTACTACTTTATTCATTTTAACTAAGGCCTCTCCAGTTGGCCTTCAAAGGTTCACAGAACCTATTGCCTAAAAAGCCTCGTTGTGAACTAATAACTTTGCATTTGTACACAAGGCTGAACAGTGATCAGTGAAACAGGGCCTGGGACCACACACGGAACACCACTTATTTAAGCCAGTCTTGCTGCAACCATTTGTAATTGTTGAAATCAAGCAATAAAATTCAAGTCCAAGCTGTAACAGATTTAGTATTACATCTGAAAATACAATTCATAATGGAATTTTTTTAAGCAAACTGAAAAAAGTATAGATTTTGATGGCTCTGAGTCTTACACAGTATCCTGTAAAAATACTTTTTAACAGAGCCACACCGTTTCATTCTGCCATGAATATGTTAGGTAACACATAGAAAGACAGAATTCCTTCCACGCATATGTTGTGTTTGGCTGGTGCATCTAAACAGTACAGTGGATGGAATGAAAGGACAAATTATTTGGCTACCATCAGAGAAATGCACCCAATTATTTATTTGTTTATTTATTGGTAGCACCAAAGGGGCCTAGTTTGGATCATACTCTGTTGTGCTGGGCAACACAAAGGCATAGCATGAGAGGATTTATGTTTAGTATTCACGTAATGATGTAGAACAAGTTTTCCTGTGACCAGTGTAAGTCACATAATGGTCTTGTTGCTTCCCTGTCTTTCTAAGAGATTCACAAAGTGTTTGTATTTCTATTGGTCACAAGTTAACAGGTCTCGAAAGACAAGCTGTTTCCAAAGAAAATGAAGCGTGTGCCTCTGTGTTATGAATTAATGTTTAACATCACGCCTTCAGGTGATCATTTCAAGTGATCCAGCAGCAGTTCTGAAATTGACTATGCTAAATTGGCCTGAAATAGAGTATGGTATTCCTAAGTTGCCATTGGAGTACAGAGATAAATGAAAGTTCATTTTGGTATGACAGCCAATTTGTCTTCTCCTAGATTTCTTTTCAGGCTGCTTTAGGTGCAACTGCTATAGCTTCTATAGCAATGGGAATTGCTGTTGCTATGCTCTACTGGTCCTAGCAGCCTCTGTGGGATTCTCAAGGAACTTGAAACAACAACGTAGGTTTTACCGACACTGATGACGGCTGGATCCTGGATCCTCACAGGGACAGCTGTGCTCCAGCCCACAGAATGAGAGTGTGCTGCAGATCATCAGTGAAAGAGTATCTTCCTATTACCAACACAAGCTAACAAAATCTACAAATAAAGGGCAAAAAATCCACTCTTGAAACAATTGCTATGCCATCTGGTCATTCTTTTCCTTTGTCCTAAACACAGCAAATTTAATTTCCCCTCTGAGCACTTTTTTCCTATTTGAAGCCTGTTCTCAGCTCCCATACCTTTGATCATTGCTCAGATCATTGCTTGATACCACTCTACCTGGACTATCCTTGCTTCAGGCAAACACATTCAGATGAAGAGGGGCTATGAAATTGAATTCCTTTTCTTATAGTTCCCATATCCTTCTTCTCTAGTCCCAGTCTGGAGGACCTTCTGACATTACACACAAGAAAACGACGTGTGCAGTCTCTGGTTACTATCAGAGAAGATTCTGTATCGCCATACAAGGGGGTGAGAAATTAAGAGACTTCATTAGACTTAAGTCTTTTCCTCATTTCAGAGGAAAAAGTCGGGGGGTTTGTCACATTCTCATCTGAATAAATAGATTAAAATCACTGTTGTTAGCCATGATTGTTCCAGTATCAGATCTGAAGAAGTGGCATGTTGGTCTCAGATTTCAGGATGCATATTTCTATATTGTCATTTATTCAGCTCACGAATGCTTGTTAAAATTCATTATAGGTACTTCCTGGAGTCACTGAGTCCTTTCCTTTGGACTTCTTCCATCATATCAAAGATGTGCTTAGCCAGTACAGCCACCTACTTCAAACATATAGAATAGAGCATCTACATATTTTTGTATTGAGCTGCTGATTATTTGGTGGTCAGCTGCAGTAAGAAATTCTGAAAGAGACTCTTTTATAGCTATTATCATCTTTGCTTATTAAGAAATGAGAGAAAGTTTTTGTCTTAAATCCAGTGCAAAGAAAACAACCTACTGGGTCCAGAATGGTCTCCACACCACTGAAAGCTTATCCATCATCAAATGGGCTTAAATTAGTAATATGTCTTTGGACATGTTTTAGTGTTGTCTGTTGTTGTAATTAATTTGTATTCTTTAGACTTATGGGCTTCATGTTGTCATGGATGCAGGTTATGGGGCATGCAAATCTTCATTTTCACTGTTTGTTGCTTGAGCAAAAAAGTAAGCCATCCGCAACACATGCAAGG